GGCACTTTTTTTTTTACATGATGTACACTCATTATGACATAACTCAATAATTGTAAGTAAAATATTTAAACTAGTTAAGTTTACACTCATTATCAGAAAGCGACTTTGACTATAAAATGGATATGCACCCACCTAGTTAAAATCCAAGATCTAACACTAGATTACATGATGAACAGCGTTTCCTTAAGCCTTTACTGGTAGTAATACAACAAGATTTAGAAAAATATTTCACCTTTTCTATTGGTTTATTTTTGGTAATATTCTAGTTTTAATGATTGAACCCAAATAAATATCTAGTAATTCAGGATGTAGCTTGGGAGATGATTTACCTAGTGAGTAGAGATTTAGTGCGCTGTAATTGAGATTGAGCACATTGGACTTGTACAGTTGAGGTAATTGTAAAATTTTCATGTGGGCATCCAGTTTTGCACTACCTATTGAATTTGTATTCACTTTTTAAGAAAAATTAATTGATATTCAATTTTTGTATAACTTCGTATACATATACTTTTCTTTTCTTCTTTACTGTTATTTTCTTCTTTGTGCTTAGAGTTTCTTCTTTTTTTTTTTAGTTGCAAAATAGGTTTATTAAATTTGTTGTTGTTTTTGACAATTTGATGATTGAGATTTGTTCTTTATGATATTTGAAAGTTATGTTTCAAATTTGAGCTCATTTTGAGCAGATTTGGGCATTGAATCATGTATTGAATTGCTGAAATTCGAGAAAAACAAGTTTATGTTTCAAAACTTAAGATTCGAAATCTAAAGTTGCATTAAATATATTGAACTACTTAAGATTCGATATTTTTGAAGTTGCATCCGAAAGGTATAAGAACTTCAAATTTAATTTTTGAAGTTGCATTGAAGAGATTGAACTACGAATCCTAACGGATACACTTTGTAAATTTTTATGCAATGCGGGTATAACTTCAATACTGACCCCAAAAGTGGGTATGTATGAAAATGCCCCGAGGTAGTTGCTCAATTATTTGTACTCCGTAGGAACATAAACAAACTTTGGTAAATATGCGATGAGATCTTTACATAAATAGTCGTCCAGATTTACTATTTATATTTTGTAGTCAATATTATAGATAATAAACTCATTATACATAGTTATACATATATTATACATGAATTATACATATACTATTATATATTTGTCGGCTATCTTTAGTTTAATCAATTGGGTGAGCGGCTATTTAAGTTGATTCCTATTCAGTATACCAAATGTGCACTTAGGGGTGGCAAAATCAGCCCAATAAACATGACCTACTCAATCCATCCATTTATTAACTCGGATCATTATCTAAAATTTGGGTTTACATATTAGCTCAAATTGACCCATGAGAAACCTTTCAGAAAAAAATTAAATTTATTTTGTTTGATACTATGTTATAAATAGCTATAATGAAGAAATTAAAACTTGATAAGAGTTGGAGGAATTGAACTTAACCCATTATTTAATCCATCTTCATCCAATTTATTTCAGCACAAAAGTAATCTTTGGGCAAATAACTAAGCATATAACCAAGTGTACCATTTAACTTTTTTAGAAGGTAAGGGTCACCAAATAATATTAGATCACTTCTTGGAATATATATAACCTAGTTTGATATAAAGACTACGGATTCACGTACACTATAATTTGGGTCTAAATCCGCCCTGCTTCAGATCTGCTTACCTGGAGAAAACACAAAGCATATGTGGATGAGGGATCAATTTTAGTCAAAGTTGTAAATTTCAATTTTCAAGTAAACAAAAAGGCATATCTTTCAAGAGGGACTAATCCTATTTTTATTATTGGTGTAGGTGACCTAATAAGCTCTATAATCCCTCATCCAAAGATGCAATAAATGAAAACGACAGGATCCAGAATAGTAGTAGTACACTATAATATCAAATTTCGAGAAAGTAGATCCACTACGGCGTCCTTTACTCTTTGTATTTTGTGTTCTACGCAAATTTTATGGAGTGGGTATTATGTGCTCCACTGGGTATTTCTGGCGTTACATTAAGTTAAACTGTAATGCACTTAGGATATAAAAATATTTAAGATAAATACCAGATCACTTAAGTTAATTTAGATAAATAGCATTAAGTATGAGCGGCAACATTAGACTCAAGTATTCATTTGGGGGAGTGGCTGAACAGTGTAAAGATCCCTTATAAGTTCAGATACAAATATATTCCTTACTGATCTTCTTTTATAGACTCATCGAAGGTTCTTATATGGGCTTAGCCGGTGGGCATAATTAGGGGAGAAATTAAAAAATAGCCAGATTTACAAGTGGTCATTCAAAAATAACCACAGTTTTAAAAATAATCGAAATTTAGCCACTTTTCATGTAAAGATAAATCTGAGTGAAAACACTGTTCAAAATCCGGAAAATACTCCAGCATAATATACTGGACTTCCAGCATAATATGCTGGATCGGTATATTATACTGGAACTCCAGTATATTATGCTGGAAGTCCAATATATTATGCTGGAAGTCTAGTATATTCCAGCATAATATACTGGAGTTCCAGTATAATACACAGGTACACCGATCTCCAGTATATTATGCTGGAACTTTCCGTGTTGCAACAAAATAGTGGCTATTTTTCAATGACTTTGCAAACGCTGGATATTTTTGAATGATCAACCCGAAAACTGGCTAGTCCATGCTATTTTTACCATATTTAGTAAAAATAGCACGGGCTAGCTATTTTCCGGACTGATAATCGGAAAACGGCCAGCGTTTCCACTGTTTTGCTGAAATGTGGAAAATTCCAACATAATATGCATGATTATGAAACTTCTGTGTATGAACTTCCAGCATATTATGTTGGAACTCCAGCACACGAAAAGTTCCAGCATAATACGTGGGATTATGGAGCTCCTGCATATAAACTTCCAGCATATTATGATGTAATATAAAATTCTAGCATATTATGCTGGAATCATAGTAAAAAATTCAAACTCCAGCATATTATGCTGGAAATCGAATTAAGAGTGTTTTTGTTTAAATTTTATCTTTACATAAAAAGTGACTAAATTTCAATTACTTTTGAAACTGTGGCTATTTTTCAACTACCATTCCTAAACAGGACTATTTCTGATTTTTTTTCGCCTTATTGAAGTATTGAACCCAAAGATTGAATGAACGGGTTTGCTTATTTAAGTGACTGTTGAACATGTTCACTTTATTTCCCTGTACCGCTTTCAAGTTGAAGAGTTATGATTTACATCTACTAATAGTTGGTTTGCTCAAGTTTGGATTTAAATGTTTGTAAGGACAAAATCAAGCAAATAATAAATATCTCAGCATATAAGTTTCGGTTTGTTAGGACCAAATCAAGTTATCATTAAATATGCTCAGCAATGAGCTTCCATTTACACTTCTGGGGTACCCAAACAGAATGAACATAGACTAAAGTCTTGTTGCCACCATTAAAGGCCCAACAATGTACTACGAAGAAATAGGCTTCATTTCAACTGGATAAGATCAGCTAGCATCCATAATTTGTCGCAACCACCATCTTCTCGTGGCATATGGAATACAAATACAGTCCTTTTACTAGCATAATAATGGAAACAAAATAGATATAGTAGGTTGCCTTTCACAGTTCTGATGGGCTAATTTGCCACATTCCATCTCTTCTTATCTTCTTTTGCAAATAAATGATTTAGTAACAAATAAAAACTCAAAAGAATAAAAATTAGCATTAACAGAAAGGAAAATCACTTCACAAATGCTGCAAAGGGCTAAAAGGTTCAGGTAGCGACTCAAATCCGTTGTCAAATAACGTTTCTTGATCCGACTTGTCATCGATGCTGTGCAGCCAATTTGTGTTCTTCAAATCCTCTTTCAGCAGAAGCGCATCATAACGAGAACTCTCATAAATATCAATGTCTGTCAATTTTGCTGAATATTGAGACTTGCCCTCTTCACTCCCATTCTCAGATAACCTGTTAAGGTAATTTCCATTCTCAGGAAGATTACCATTGTAGTGGTAAGATGCATTCTCATTGGTAGAGGATGGGGCAGTCGAACCATGAGAAGGCTGGTTTTTCCCATTTGTGGAGCGAATACTATGTGGAAAGAGGGTTGAGCCAGAAAGTGGACGAACACCATTAAGGCCATTTCTAATATCCTGCAGCAGCAATGTGTCCACACTGTTAAGTACAACAAACTTCCCTGCTCTTTGGCAGTTCAAGGAAACCCATACAGCATCAAATAGAACACACAATTAAGCCTTTAATTGTCGAAATCACTTCACCAACAACCATAAGCAGAATAGAAGCTAATTGAACCAGATCAGCAGTTAAGAATTGCTATACAAATTTAGTAATTTGATCATAACAAAAGAATCTGCTCGATGCAAAATCTGAAGACCGTACTTACCATATGCCTGATTGCCACGTCAAGAGATTTCTTAGAAATTGTCCTTCCAAGTCCCGTGCTATCAGTAGCAGCCTTTACAGGCTTCCTTGTAGACAATTCTGAGACATGTGAAGCCCTGCGGGAATCAGAAATATCATTAAGTTGCCCTCCGCCAAGCACTCGTCCTCTACCAGAGGGTTCTGTTAGTCTTCCCCTGCTAACAATGGGTGATGACTGTCTCCGAGGATTTGCCACACTTGGGATTTCTGCATTTGCCTTGGTAGTGACAGAAGGATTTGGCCTGGACCTACCAGCAGACAGAGGCCTGTCTGGCAGAGTTGTGCGTAGGTTTGGAGGCGTTTCAAGTGAAAAATCTGGGGGAACTATTGGTTGTGATGGTCGACGAACTTGGGGACTAGGGGAGCTTGGACGAGAAACAGAAGCTGCAGGTCGTCCATTGGTGACAGAGCGCCCTGCTGGAGTTGACGATCTAGAAGCTGGAGACAATGAAGGTGTTATGTTCCGACGAGTAGGTGTTGAAGGCCTTGAAGTAGACCGAGCAGCAGGGGTACTCAAGTTTGCTGGTATTTGGGCCCGGGAAGTTGGAGTAGAAGGTCTTGAGCTTTGGGTTGGCCTAGAAGGAGTACTTGGGGCTTGGCGGACTCTAGAAGGAGTTGAAGGTCTGGACACAGTTGCACGGGAAGTCGGGGTGGAAGGCCTGGCTGAAGAAGAAGAACGGCTTGTCGGCGTAGATGGTCTAATATAGGAGGAGACTGATGCAGAGCTTGTGTTTAGAATAGAGCCTGATTTATTTGAGTAACTACTGTACTGAGAGCTAGAAATGGAAGGTCGAGTCACAGAATTACTCCGAGTTGGTCTTGCAGGAGTATTGCTCTCTGAATGAGACACTGAAAGCTGAAAACAAATTATTTTATCAGCACAACTACTTGGCAAGGTAATTTGTGAGCGTTACAAGCCTGTGAAACTGATATTCTAGATAGCCATCTATCTAGTTTGTATGATAGAGGTCCAACAACACATTTCAAAAGTAAAGATATTGGGCAACAATAACCTAAAATAATGATGACTGTGAATTTAAAAAAAATGTGGATTGTGATAGACGACGGGATTGAGAAAGTTTTCATGGAGAAGTAAGTCTCAACTCTAAAGACCATTGATATCGATATATATGAATTCCACAATTCCAAAGACATGATAAATACAGAAACATAGAGACTTACCCTTGAGGCCTTAGTAGTGGAGGCAGATCTGCCCAATGAGCTTCCTCTTGGAGCCGCTGAAGCTGGTTTTGATTCACCTCCATCTGATGAAGGAACAAGGGGAGTTCCTGGCGGAGTGAGGAGCCTATAGAAATGAAAACACGACGACTGTGAGTGAGGAATCAATAATGCTTTCCCTTCTTCATTTATTAGACATGGAAAGGGAAACATAGCTTAATTTGACTGTGTCGGCTATATGAAGACGACTGGCCTTAAGTTGATACATTTAATATACACTACTACAGCTCTCGGCGACTGCTGCTCAACAAAGGTATATTTAGGATGATACCGTGTCTCTTAGCCAATATTTGAGCACCCGACTAGTGACCTAGTTAGAAATTAGAGGAACTATTCTCCTTTAACAGGAACAGTCATTGACTTTGTAATCAGTATGAATTCAACACACAGAGCAGTTAATACTAAAATTGTAGTAGTTCCCCATGTAATTTGAGTTAGTCCAAACAAATAATTAAGAGGCGAGATCTAATATTGCAAAGATGCAGATTTACCAATCGTAATCATGCTTATCTCCCTCGGTAGATGCTATCAGATCCTCTAATCCACTCTTTACTTGCTTCACTGATCCAATTGAAAGCCTCCCCAGTTTAACCGAAACTGCAGGCACAGAGCAACCAAAACAAATTTAAAAAAATTACTTAAATAAAAAGGAAAACTATTGAAAAAATTAGAGCTTAATAGTCAAGAGTAGCATATATATTTCCGGACAGACTAATTTTTACAACTAGAAATTTGTCCAACTAATTAATCCTCAAAGAGGAGTGCTAGCTATAATGAAGATTGCATACATATAGCGGCTCTCAACTAGATTGTGATTTAGAAGCAATTGTGTATGTATATGTATTTTGCGGCCAATAATGCAGATGAGGCATATTAAACTTGTGATAATGAGGAAGCGTAAAATACAACGTAAATAATAAGAAACGTAAGAAAAAAGGCATACCATCGGATTCGTCGGAGGATGCAACGGAGATACTGCGGCGACTTTTGGAGAAGAGATCCAAGTTATCATCATGCTGCTCTCTAGAAGCTCCGTTAAGACTAAGACCTCGCCGGTGCTGTGACGATATAGGAAAATTCTTCCCGCTGATCATTGAATCTCTGAAGCTCCGATTCATCGTTCTTCACTTATAACTAATTAAAATGGACGTTAACAAATATGAAAGCCTTTTCTTTTTGTAATGTTGCCGGAGATTGAGCAGATCTGTTCGGACTTTAACAGTGAGAGAGAGAGAGAAAAGGCTGCAGATTTTGGGGAGAATAGAAGAAGAAGAAGGAAAGAAAGAAAGGATGTTAGGAATAGTAATAAACTGACAGAGAGACAGGTAAGAGAGGGTCGGTGTGTTCCCCCCTCTCTCCCTCCCTTCCTCTGCCTCCTTTATTTCCCCCTACTTCCTTATTTTTATCACACATTTTTTTTGGTAACCTTTTATGGGCAAATTACATATTTGGCCAAGAATAATTATATTTGTTAATATATATCTATTGATTCGACTGTTATTTTTAAAAACCGCTACATAGTATAGTTTTTCTAACTTGAAATGTTAATTAAATTGAATTCGTACCGTATAATCTTATTAAAGTGGGAAAACCCCTATAAGTTTTTTATAATAGTTTCTTCCCTTACCACATAAATAGTGAGTTTGGAGTATGAATGTGAAATAACTTCTTTTGTGTTTATTGGATATGCTTAGGTTTTTATAACCAAATCATTAGTGAATAATTTTTTTATAAAAGTACAATGATTACTTTTATGAAAAAGTACTGAAAATAAAAATACATGTTAAACTCATGAAATAGTATAAACATTATATAAAATGAGACAAAAAGAATACATTATATATAAATGATAGTATATTAAGCAGTGTGAATATAACTAACTTTTTAAACTATTGAAAAATTATTAAATTTTATAGAAAATCAGTTTTCTTTTATGAAAAAATCGACACGATATGATTAGAAAAAGTAAATTAAGAAAAATCGACACCATTTGGTTATAAAGATAAATATTTTGATAAAAAATAGTGCAACTTTGTTTTTTTAGAGGACGGTTCCCAAATCCCAATGGTTCACTTTTGAAGTTTTACCACATCAATAATGATTATTAGAGAACTCATACATAATTAGTCAAACGAATTTTCGAGTCAGCATGTTAGTTTTGGCTATTTGTCGAATATTCGATTCTTCATTGTAAGTTGTTTTAATCATGTTAATGACTGTCCACCACATTTTTCTTTTGTAAATATTAGTCGATATTGTCGGTGCCCACAGTGTAGGCTAATAAGTAATAACCGACTAAGTATGGGGAATTCTTTCCTATTGTGTTTGTTATTTACGAGTCTAAAGAGTTATGGTACATTAAATATGCTTGATTATATATTATGATGGTGTTTCTCGTTGCAAAAAATTATTTCTGGTGGTTTTTAGGGAAAACAATACATGTTCGTACTGTGGAAAAGTATGAATTCTATTAATCTCATAATTAAAATATGGGATCCAAAGGCGTGTGCTTAGCTTTTTCAACATACGATTTTTTTTTAAACTTCTAGAAGTTGACGAATAATGATTCAATTAATTAAATGCAAAATGAGGCATCTTTAAGTTGACTAGTCACTCAACGCTGCAGTTGTTTTTTCCCCTTTCTTTCTTTTGGTAGAAAACCCGTGAATAACAAAAATGGAAAAATTGAAGAATATGAGTGATGTGTTATAAAACAATAAGAGAAGAAGAAGAGTATTGCATAGAAATGTAGGGAGAAGAGAATTCTTATTGATATGGGATGATTTATAATGGAGTAGAACCCTTTATTTATAGGGAGAGAGTGACTTAATCACCAAGTAATAAACCCTAGAATTTCTCTAGAATATAGACATTCACCTTAAATAGAATTCTATTTATAATACTCCCCCTTGAATGTCTATCCAACAGATAATGTGCCTCGTTAAAACCTTAACTAAATAAAACCCAATGGAAAAAAAATTCTAGAGAAGGAAAAAGAGTACACATATCTAACAATACGCCTTTTGGTTGCCTCGTTAAAAACCTTGCAAGGAAAACCCAGTGGAACAAAACTTTGTAAGGGAAAAAGAGTACAACGCGTATTAACTCCCCCTGATGAGAGCATTAATTCACATCTTTAAGCATTTGCATTCCAATCTTGTGCACCATCTTCAAACGATCTTTGGTAGAGACTTGATAAACAAATCAGCCATATTAACTTGAATGAATATATTGCATCTTGAAATCATCATTCTTGATAGTAATGTCTTCATAAACTGCCGTAGAATGGCCTTTTCAATATCTCCATAGAGGTATTCTCGCTATCATATTATCATGCTTATAGTTATAGCAAAATACATATGTGCATAAATTACACTTATCATACGGTACTTCGGGACCAAGAATTGTATATGCTTCAAGCGATTTAAATCCTTCAAAGATTGTCATATAAGTTAAGTCATATAAGCCATAAATAGACTTTAGATGCATATTAAGTTTTTATGTCATGCTAGACATATAAGATATCGAAAACTGATTGCACATACCATTGACTTTATACTTTCAAGTATTTGAATAACATAGACAAAATTATATGTCTTTCATATGGAATCAATTCTACTTGAATTATGTCTCTTCCATTTGGCCAATACTTTTGTGTCTATATTCGATAGACTTAAGATCCTCATCTATACTTAGCGCTATGATAGATGTCGTCGACAAACATTTTATATCGGTTCCAATATTTTTTCATAAAGACATAACATAGAGATCTCTTCATTCATATATTCAGGTACCTGACTCTCATGAGACTTTATGAAGTGTTATGTCATGTGATCTTCTAGATCACTTGTCTCCTTTATTATGATCATTTTGATCATTTGCTCATCTTCTTTATCAAGAAGTTCTATTTGAAACCGATTTGTCTATACGCTTTAAGCGTACCATAGACTTTGTCCTTCTAGGACTTAATATGAGCATTTGCAATGAGAATATAGTTACTTTCTTTGGATCAGTAAATGCGTCTGGGTTGCTTTGCAATATATTGCAGATGAATTATCTATTTATGAACTTCAAGTTCATATTATCTTATTCGAGGTTCGAGATGTATAAATAATAATTCATTCCACGTAACTTTTTCTCAATTGTTTATCTTGTCTCCCCCTCATGTTAGAAAAACTAACTTTTTCCCTCAATTTTGGGAACACATCTTTGTGCATTATGGTGTTAATCAATATATACAATGCACATTAATAATAACAAGATGGAATTATTTGGTTCCTGATCCCGAACCACTTGTGAGGGGAGAATATAATATATTTTCGTATATAACGTATATCAAACTGATATAGATAACTTCGTTCTCATAAGAAATATTTTAGCTATTAAGTGGAGGCACTCAATAAATTATTTTACTAAACCAACTGTGATGTAACCCAACTTATCAAGATAAACTATCTTGGATAGAAAATCTGGAAATTATGCTCTAAATTAAATTATTGAGCAAATTACCTCGCAAACACCAAGTTGCAGGTTAATAATAATCGCACATGTAACCATCTCATAGATGCATCTTATGTGATATACATGGTAGATGAATGGTCCCATATTCACTTTTGACATTTCTAGCATTCATAATCCCAATTTTAGTTGGTCAATTAATTAACGAGAACAAGCAATATAAGAGAATTCGTAAAGAACTTTCTAGTTCTTTAATATTTAACCATGTGAATTCTCTATTATTTTTGCACATCATACTTAAATTGATATGGCCAAACCAATTATGCCAACTGAATAAATTATCAATATTGATAAAGTTCAGGTTTTCAACATGACGTGTGCAATTATCGATAAACACCAAGTTTATTATGATATGGGTTTTTATATCAATAAACATCCACTTTAGTGTGGTGTTCTTTTATTTGTGTAGTACAAACTAGAGAATAAAGTGGGTAGCTTTTTACATACATATTATCCCGCTACAAGTTGTAGTAATAAAAGATATTAAATATTTCCTTTATTTATAGTCTCAATATAATCAACCGCTTTCGCGTGTACTTTGGAAACTGAATAAGTTTCTTTGAGATTTACTACAACACAATACCTTATTGGTAATCAATTGTGTTTCTCCAAAATAGTAATAATTGGCTCTTCCAGAGCTCTCAATTAATTTGGTACTACCACATATTCATCAACATCCATATGGTGAATATCTCTTTTAAAGAGAAAGTTATACCATTATGGTTATGGTCAAAATTATATGCAAGATCTGTTTCTTGCATTACCGTTGTCTTTTAATAATTACATTGCCAAAATATTTTGGCGTACAATAAGTACGTGATTAACGACCATTTATGCCATAATAATAACATTATTTTCTTATTTCCTCTCAAACCTCCCTCTAGATGTGAGTGTGGTATATTCACTACCACTAGCACGTTCATATTCTTCCAAGAATGAATATGTATTCATAAATTAGATGTTGTCACATTCACATCATGAATAGACAATAATCATCTATATATGCTTTATAGAATCTCATGTGAAATCGATGACAAATATTACTTTCACATAGTGAAGGATTATTTTGAGAATCCTTATTGTTCTCATTACCATAATGATGACAATTATAATTTCGTCTATTGCCACGTCTACATCCATTGACACATTCATAGTAATAATTTTGTCTTCTTTTAGACTTATCACATATTGCTATCACATTCTCTTAAGGGAATGAGAATGGAGCCAATTCAATGGGACGGGTTTTCAATTCTTTGCCCACAATCATACATGAATTTGATCATGGCAAGGCATAAAAATTTTACCACTTTGGGTGGTTATAATATCTTTCAAACTCCATTAGAGTTGCAATCAAAATTTATCGTCTTTGTTTGTATTTAAAATCAAATTATAGAATGTCAAGAATTTGAAAGAGAAAAGTAAAATACTTACCTTAAATCCAGAGTTTAATCATGAAGGAAGTTCATAGAACAATTGACAATCATTATGCTCAATCCCAAATTTTCTACTCAATTGGTTAGAGTCTCGTGCTGATAACGTGTTATAAAACAATAAAAGAAGAAGAGTATTGCAGAGAAAAGTAGGGAGAAGAGTATTCTTATTGATATGAGATAATTTACAATGGAATAGAACCCTCTATTTATATGGAGAGTGTGACTTAGCTACCAAGTAATAAACCATATAATCTCCCTAGAATATAGACATTCACCTCATACATAATTCTGTTTATAACATGATTTTCGTTCTTTTAAAATTGTGTTAACTTGGTTAGGTTTACCTCGTTTTTTTCCCTTTTTTATTTTAATTTCTACTGCTGGGCTACTTAAATAGTTATTGATCATTGGAAGTCTGTTCA